TAATTATTTAACTCATATTAGGGCAAATTTCCTCCTTTATCAAAATACTAACACAAAGATCAAATTCATCTATTTCAACATAAAATCACCTCATATCCCAACCCCATGGTCAAATATACAACAACACATAAAAACCCCTCTTTTATAAATTTGAACCTAACCCTAGGTTTTTCTCCAATCATCCCAAATCTCACCATATATTCATAACAACAAATACCTAGGTTAAAAATCATGAACAAGTGTAGAAAATCCCTACCTCAAGTGTAAAAGCCCAAAGAAGAAGAAGAAGAATTTCAAAAATTGCCCAAACTCGCTTTTACTCGGATCAAAGGGAAGCCCACAATATGCTCTAACTCTTTATCAAAGGGAGTAGGGTACAAAGATCCTTAGATCTAGGTATATTCATGGAGAGAAGTCAAGTTTTAAAGAGAGAGACAGCCGATCTAGGGTTTTTAGAAGAAAAGGGATCAAAAAGTGATATAAAACTGCTCTGCTGCGAACTGATATACGTGAGGCTCGCTCGAGCGAAGGAGTTGTCTCTGGAGCGACCAGACACAATAAGTGACCTCGCTCGAGCGCAAGAAGCGTCGCTCGAGCACAGAATAGATGCCTTCAGAAGTTTTACAAACCCCTACTGTCGCTCGAGCGCAAGAAGCATCGCTTGAGCGAAGAACGATATTTTTCCAAAATTTCTGCAGATGTGGAGAAAAATACTGGGAACTCTCAAAGTTCGTTCGAGAGCAAGAAGGCTCGCTCAAGCGAAGAAACAAATCACTAAAGCTCGCTCAAGTGAAAAAGCAAATCACTAAAGCTCGCTCGAGCGAAGAAGCAAATTTCTGGACAGCAACAACTTGAACAACAAGCAACCAACCTGTCCCTAACATGCACAACACACTCCAAAACTCCAACTCAAAGACAATGAGGGAAATCAAGACATGGATAAGAATATTAAACCACGAAACCCGAGTTCGAAATACATCAAAGGTCGGGTCAAAACCCGGAATCGCTATATATAGGACTCTTGGAACTAATTTTCTGTCTTTCTATATATATATATAATTAATGCCAAATCTTCTTTTCATAAGGCTTAAAATTTCCAAATAATGATAGTTGGTTTATATAGGACTCTTCATAACTTTTAGAAAATATAGTAGATTTGAGAGGGTAAAATTGAGATTTTAAAAAATAGAAAACATGGTAAGCTCTTCACACTTTAAAATTTTCAAAAATAAAGAGATAGTTGGTTTATATAGACTCTTAATGACTTTTATAAAATCTATCTATCTATCTATCTATTAATATATTATACAAGGAAAATTATGTTTTTAGTGAGGGGCCTTGCGAGAGCTTCAATAGCTTATACTAATGTTCTTGATTTTCTTAATTTTAAATAATAAGAAAATCTCCATTGGCTACCTTTTATTTGATAATCCTACATCAGGAAAAAAAAAGAAAAAAAAAGAAGTTGTTTTACTCATATAAAGAGAATTTTATACTCCCATCCCATTTAGTAAGGAGCCTTGTGAGAGTTTCAATATCTCATATTAATTTTTTTGATTTTCTTAATTTTAAACAATTAAAAAAATCTTCATTGGTTAGTTTTTATTTGATAATCCCACATCGGGAAAAGAAGAAAAAGTGAGTTATTTTACTCATATAAAGTAAATCTTATATTCTATCCCATTTAATATTATAGTGTTGTGCATGTTTTAATTCAATATAGTTTAAATTTTAAAAGTTTTAATTAATTAATTATGACCTAACCGATTAGGCTAATCATTTTTTATTTGATTGATTTGTTGGTTTAACTGCGATTTTAGCGGTTTTATCAAAATATATTGATTAGATTTGTTTAATTCGGAATAAATTAAAGATTGATTTGATTAAAGATTGACAGACTGAGATTTCTTGATTAGAAATAAACTTTCCGTCCAAATAATTGTTAACTTTTATTTTATAATCCCACATCGAAAAAAGAAAAAAAAAAGAAGAGTTGTTTTACTTATATAAGATGAATCTTAATAGTGTAGTATTGTGTATACTTCAATTCAAGACAGTTTAAATTTTAAAATAAAAATAACATTTAAAAGTTTTAATTAATTAATTTTTGTATAAGTTGGTTGGTCATTTGACTTAACCGATTAGTCTGAACCATTTTGGGTGTGACCGATTCATCGATTTAATCGCGATTTTTCATATTGATTTTATTAATTTTAAATAATTAAAAAAACCTCTATTGGCTAACTTCCATTTAACAATATAAAAATAAAACTATAATTAGTTTATGATTTATTTTATAATCCCACATCGTGAGAAGAAGAAAAAGCAAAGTTTATTTCACAATCTATCTATATATTATATAAAGAAAATTGGGATTTTAGAGAGAAGTCTTCTAGGAGCTACAAACCCTTATTCTAAAATTATTGAATTTTCTTAATTATAAACAATTAAGAAAATTTCCATTGACTAACTTCCATTTACCTTTTATTTTACAATCCTACATCGAAAAAAGAAAGAAAAAGTAAATTGTTTCATTTACATAAAATGAATCTTATACTCCCATTTATATAAGTAAAAAAATATTTTTAGTGAGAAACTTTATGATCAATATCTCATATTCATTTTTTTGATTTTCTTAATTTTAAATAATTAAGAAAATCCTCATTGGTTAGCTTCCTTTAACTTTTATTTTATAATCCCACATACTTTTGATTTTAAAAATAATTTTGTGTGAGATTTTGAAACTCTCAAATATTGAACTTTAAAATAATTATAATCTCATATCGAGAAAAAAAAAAAGAAAAAGTAAGTTGCTTCGCTTATATAAAGTGTTACAATCTCAAATCGGGAAAATAAGAAAAAAGTGAATTGTTTCACTTATATAAAGTGAATCTTATACTCCTATTTATATAAGTAAAAGAAGATTTTTAGTGAGAAATCCTATAATCAATACCAATTTTTTTTTGATTTTCTTAATTTTAAACATTTAAGAAAATCTCCATTGGTTAACTTCCATTTAACTTTTATTTTATAATCCCACATAAACGTTTTGAAACTCTCATAATATTTAATTTAAAAATTATTACAATCCCACATTGAGAAAAGAAATAAAGAGTGAGTTGTTTCACTTATATAAAATGAATCTATAATACCCTCAGTTTATTATAGTATTGTGCATATTTCAGTTCAAGATGGTTTAAATTTTAAAATAAAATTTAAAAGCTTTAATTAATTAATTTTGTTATAAATTGGTTGGTCTTTCGACTTAGCCGATTAGGCTGAATCGTTTTCGGTTGGACTAATTCACTGGTTTAATCACGGTTTTAACTGTTTTATCAAAATATAGTACTTAGATTTGTTTGATTTGAAATAAACTAAGATTGACCTTATTAAATATTGAACGATTGAGATTGCTTGATTAGAAATGAACTTCTCATCCAAACAACTGTTAAGTTTTATTTTACCACATCAGGAAAATGAGGAAAAAATGAGTTGTTTCACTATATAAACCTTATGCTCCCATTTAATATTGTAGTGTAGTGTTTTGTTTTGTATGCTTTAATTCAAGACAGTTTAAATTTTAAAATTAAAATAAAATTTAAAAGTTTTAAGTAATTAATTTTTGTATAAGTTGGTTGGTCCTTTGACCTAGCTGATAAGGTGAACCGTTTTTGGTTTGATTGATTTGATGGTTTAACTGCGATTTTAGCGGTTTTATCAAAATATATTGTTTAAATTTGTTTGATTTGAAATAAATTAAAGATTGACCTAATTAAAGATTAAACGGCTAAGATTGCTTGATTCGAAATAAATTTTCCCCCCAAATAATTGTTAACTTTTAAACAATTAAGAAAATCTCCATTGGTTAACTTTCATTTAATTTTTATTTTATAATCCCACATCGAGAAAAGAAAGAAAAAGTGAATTGTTTCACTTACATAAAGTGAATCTTATACTTTTATTTGTATAAGCAAAATGAGATTTTTAGTGAGAAGCCTTATGATCAATATCTCATATTAATTTTTTTATTTTTATTTTAAACAATTAAGAAAATTCCGATTGACTAATTTGATTGGATTTTTAAAATTTTAAGATTTATATTATTTTCAGAAAGGATGAGGGTGACTTACTATATTATTTTGAATTTTGAAATTTAAAATCATAGATAATTAGTGCCTTTATTTTTTATTTATTTGAATTGTTTTGATTAATATTACTTTTGAAAAGAGTGAGAGTGATTTATCATATTATTTTGAATTTTAAAATTGAAAATCATAGATAATTAAAGTTTTTTAAATTTTTTTTTTTTTTTTGACTTGAAGAACTAGCCAATAATTTTTTTTTATTTCTTTAAAAATTAACAAAATTAGTTTAGGAATTTGAAACTCCCACCATTAATATTCTTAAAAAAGTCATTTTTTCTTATATATATACTAGCCTATCACCCGTGCTATACACGAGATAATTATAGATGTTTATATTTGTTTTAGATTTTTTTTAATATATAAATTATATTTTTTAAGATTTTTTATAAAAATAATTTAACAATTTTATCACTAACCATAGTGTATGAGAGAAATTAAAAATGATACTACAGTAACTATACACGGGTTGTATCTATAATTATTTGTATGAGGGGATTTTAAATGCTGATGAGAGAATTTTGACCAAATTAATAAATGTAGGTATGTGAAAAGACATGTGAATTGAAAAAAGTTAATAAATGTTGATTATGGGATTTTGACCAAACTAATAAATGTAAGTTTTTTTAAAAAAATAAAATTTAAAAAATTCAGATTGAGATATTAAAACCCTCATATACCTTGGAGTTAAAAAAATCCCTAAGTGGATTATAATTCACTCTCCAAATTATAATCTATTTCTTTTTTCACAAAAAAAATTATTTATAAATAATTTTTAACCAAAAAAATTAATTATAATAATCTTTTCAAAAGGATATAGATATCACAGACCAGACCATACATCCGGACCCACAAAATATTCCCCCACAAGGAAACTCTCTGAAATGTGAAATCGTTTGATTCCATTTCAAATTCAGCACACCCAATTTTTTTCAAAGTACGGAGATTTTGACGACCGCACCGCACGCACGCTTTTCTAACAGATAAGCGTTCCACTCCATCATTCCCTGTCAATCTCCTCTTCCTTCACAAGCAAGCCCCCACAATCCCCATTTCCCACCTCTACATATATATATATGAATTTGATAGATAGCCCTAGATAGATAGATAGAGAGAGAGAGAGAATGATACAGCATCACCATCACCAGAACCAGAGGCATCACCAGAAGACACTACCAAAGAGGATAATCCTGGTTCGTCACGGAGAGAGCCATGGAAACCGAGATGGGTCTGCGTACACAACCACACCGGACAACAAGATCCCTGTGACCCAGGCAGGGATCGACCAGGCGAAGTCTGCTGGGGCCGAGATCCGGCGCGTGATATCGGAAGACGGGCGCCTCCACAACTGGAAAGTGTACTTCTACGTCTCCCCTTACGAGCGAACCCGCACCACCCTCCGCGAGATCGGCCGCTCATTTCCCAGGAAGAGAATAATCGGAGTGAGAGAGGAATGCAGGATCAGAGAACAGGATTTTGGGAATTTTCAGGAAGAGAAGAGGATGAAGATGATTAAAGAGACTAGAGAGAGGTTTGGCAGGTTCTTTTATAGGTTTTAATATTATAGTGTTGTGTATGTTTCAGTTCAAGACAGTTTAAATTTTAAAATTAAAATAAAATTTAAAATTTTTAATTAATTAATTTTTGTATAAGTTGGTTAGTCCTTTGAGCTAACCGATATGGTGAACCGTTTTCGGTTTGATTGATTCACTGATTTAACTGCAATTTTAGCGATTTTATCAAAATATATTGGTTAAATTTGTTAGATTCGAAATAAATTAAAGATTGACCTAAATAAAGATTTAATTGCTAAGATTGCTTGATTCGAAATAAATTTTACGCCCAAATAATTGTTAACTTTTAAACAATTAAGAAAATCACAATTGGTTAGTTTTCATTTAACTTTTATTTTATAATTCCACATCGAGAAAAGAAGGAAAAAGTGAATTGTTTCACTTACATAAAGTAAATCTTATACTCCCATTTATATTAACAAAATGAGATTTTTAGTAAGAAAATCTTATGATCAATATCTCATACCAATTTATTTGATTTTTTTAATTTTAAATACTTAAGAAAATCCCGATTGACTAACTTTCATTTAATTTTTATTTTATAATCCCACATCGAGAAAAGAAAGAAAAAGTGAATTGTTTCACTTACATAAAGTGAATCTTATACTTTTATTTGTATAAGCAAAATGAGATTTTTAGTGAGAAGCCTTATGATCAATATCTCATATTAATTTTTTTATTTTTATTTTAAACAATTAAGAAAATTCCGATTGACTAATTTGATTGGATTTTTAAAATTTTAAGATTTATATTATTTTCAGAAAGGATGAGGGTGACTTACTATATTATTTTGAATTTTGAAATTTAAAATCATAGATAATTAGTGCCTTTATTTTTTATTTATTTGAATTGTTTTGATTAATATTACTTTTGAAAAGAGTGAGAGTGATTTATCATATTATTTTGAATTTTAAAATTGAAAATCATAGATAATTAAAGTTTTTTAAATTTTTTTTTTTTTTTTGACTTGAAGAACTAGCCAATAATTTTTTTTTTATTTCTTTAAAAATTTAAAAATTAACAAAATTAGTTTAGGAATTTGAAACTCCCACCATTAATATTCTTAAAAAAGTCATTTTTTCTTATATATATACTAGCCTATCACCCGTGCTATACACGAGATAATTATAGATGTTTATATTTGTTTTAGATTTTTTTTAATATATAAATTATATTTTTTAAGATTTTTTATAAAAATAATTTAACAATTTTATCACTAACCATAGTGTATGAGAGAAATTGAAAATGATATTACAGTAACTATACACGGGTTGTATCTATAATTATTTGTATGAGGGGATTTTAAATGCTGATGAGAGAATTTTGACCAAATTAATAAATGTAGGTATGTGAAAAGACATGTGAATTGAAAAAAGTTAATAAATGTTGATTATGGGATTTTGACCAAACTAATAAATGTAAGTTTTTTTAAAAAAATAAAATTTAAAAAATTCAGATTGAGATATTAAAACCCTCATATACCTTGGAGTTAAAAAAATCCCTAAGTGGATTATAATTCACTCTCCAAATTATAATCTATTTCTTTTTTCACAAAAAAAATTATTTATAAATAATTTTTAACCAAAAAAATTAATTATAATAATCTTTTCAAAAGGATATAGATATCACAGACCAGACCATACATCCGGACCCACAAAATATTCCCCCACAAGGAAACTCTCTGAAATGTGAAATCGTTTGATTCCATTTCAAATTCAGCACACCCAATTTTTTTCAAAGTACGGAGATTTTGACGACCGCACCGCACGCACGCTTTTCTAACAGATAAGCGTTCCACTCCATCATTCCCTGTCAATCTCCTCTTCCTTCACAAGCAAGCCCCCACAATCCCCATTTCCCACCTCTACATATATATATATGAATTTGATAGATAGCCCTAGATAGATAGATAGAGAGAGAGAGAGAATGATACAGCATCACCATCACCAGAACCAGAGGCATCACCAGAAGACACTACCAAAGAGGATAATCCTGGTTCGTCACGGAGAGAGCCATGGAAACCGAGATGGGTCTGCGTACACAACCACACCGGACAACAAGATCCCTGTGACCCAGGCAGGGATCGACCAGGCGAAGTCTGCTGGGGCCGAGATCCGGCGCGTGATATCGGAAGACGGGCGCCTCCACAACTGGAAAGTGTACTTCTACGTCTCCCCTTACGAGCGAACCCGCACCACCCTCCGCGAGATCGGCCGCTCATTTCCCAGGAAGAGAATAATCGGAGTGAGAGAGGAATGCAGGATCAGAGAACAGGATTTTGGGAATTTTCAGGAAGAGAAGAGGATGAAGATGATTAAAGAGACTAGAGAGAGGTTTGGCAGGTTCTTTTATAGGTTTCCTGAAGGAGAGTCTGCTGCTGATGTCTATGATCGTGTTTCCAGTAAGATCTCTCTCTCTCTCTCTCTCTCGATTTCTTTTTTTTTTTTTTTAATTGTTGGTGGTGGTGTTGTTCATCAATTTTTAATTGTTTTTGTTTGTTTGCTGATTATTGTTGTTAATATAGTTTACTGTACTTTGCCAAAAGTAGAAGATTGAAACTTTATAGGCTTAGAGTTGAGTGAAATCTTTGGTGTTAAAGTCAAATAAAATTGATAAAGAATTCAAATTTTCTCAAGTAAAAGGCCTTTTTGTTCCCTGAAATGTGATTTTTTCAAGATTTTGTTTAATTGTTTTCCGGTTTCTATTTTGAAAGATGCTGCATTTTTTGTTGTTTTAGTTTTGAGAAAATGAAAATGTTGCTCTGTTTAGGCTTGTAAAGTCGTTTTGTTTAGGTGAAGTTCACTGTTTTTGTGAAGAAATATGATGTCAAGTTAGCTGTTTTTGAAAACTTTTCTCCTACTTATTCTGGTTCTTGTTCATTCATAGAAGTGAAATTTCTTGGGTTTTTGTCATTAGAAGTCACAGTAAGTACTTATAAATTGCTACTAGATGCAAGTTGTATATCTTAATTATAGAAAGGAGATTGAACCATTATGGAGATTGTTTCACAACTCAAAATGAGACAACCAACTTATGGATGAGTAATGGAGGGTGTAAGATAAATTGATATAGAGAGAAATTGTATGTATTATGATTGATGTTATTGATATTGTGTGTATTTGTTTACAATGATCAAATATATAGAAGAGAAGAAGGTAGTAGGTGAAGTGGTAGGGGGTGAAGTGGTAGGGGGTGAAGTGGAGGTGGTAGGTGGAGTGAAGTGGAGGTGGTAGGTGGAGTGGTGATTTATTATTTACAATTTACATTAACAGAGGGAATGAGAGTTTTTAAAGCACAAAAACAAATATGATTACTTGGTGAATTATACCGCAATGTAGTTGTTGTTTTCCTCCTATATGCCCTTAGCCATTTAGATTGTCCTAACAAGGCTGTAAATTGCAATGAGCGTGATCAATTAATGGTTCTAGAGGTCTACTTTTTATAAGGTCGTTGAAAATACTGACTAACTACTGGTCGTGTTGGTCAGGTGGTGTTTAGTTGAATTCCCAATCTAAATGTAAGGGCTCAAGTCCCTTTGTTGCATGTCAAGAAAGAAAACCCCCAAACTAATGATTCTTGTTTACAGGAGGAAAACAAACACAGCTGAACAATGACAACCAGTTCTGGGGAAGTGAACCCTATGATATCCCCTACAATGAGATTCCCACTTAAGATTTGGGTCTTTTTTCATTTGTTTTCTTTGATTGAGGGGTGACACTCAGTGTTGCTAAATTGTGAGCTACTCGGTTTGCTTCGTCCTAAACTTAACTGAGTTTGTATGTCTCAAGTTGGCTTGGCAGGGATTTAATCTCCTTTAACAATTTTGGCAAATTTTCAAGAAACAAAAACCTTGCCCTCCAATTTTAATCACCATCTTCAGACGTCCTCATTGAACAAATATTTGAAGTTGTTATTGTTAGCCTAAGAGGCATGAACGCTTCTAAGAAGGTGGCGTGTTCGTGTCAAACATTTCCCGAAATGTGACAGATACTTGTCCATAACATGTCCTACATTTAAAATTAAAAAAAAAAACTAGACCTGGACACTCTTTGACACTTTGAGAATATACATGTCCATTGCTTAACACCTATGAATTATAAGTTTGAATAAAATAGCTTAGGATACGATTATAAAATAAAAACAACATCAATTTATAGGAATTAATGTTATGTTGTATTTTTTTTTTATTGTATTCGAATGATATATTTAATAAATATATAAAACCATATACTTTGTGTGTGCACCCACATGTCGTGTCTTGTATTTTTAAAAATATTTTGTGTCAACGTATCTGTTTTGTGTTGCTTGTCCGTGCTACTTACTTGGTAGCCATAAAGGCTATCTAGGCTCTAGCTGCTGTAATAAATTGCGGTGGATTGGTGATCCTAATTCCTCAATAACCCCATTAGCTGCTTTCCCAGCCCCCATGTACCTGAAAAATCTGGACCCTCTATAAATGGTTATGTTGCTTATGTGCTTCTGGCCTTGAATTTCTATTTAGTCAATGACAGGCTTATGATAGGCACTTGGCGAAAAGAAGTCATGCATTATATGAATCCACATGATCATGGAAACTCACTCAACTATAGTTCAAACTAAATTTTAACCCCAATTACATGTTTGATGAAAACGAAATTTGGAAAAATGATGTTGGGTAGCTTCCAATCTATGGATCATGAAATGACAGACTTTTCCTCATGCATTCCTTCTGAATTCCACACGGCATTTACTTTGGCCAGGACCTTTGTATACTAATATCCGAAATCCAAATTAGACTTAAAGCCTTCAGATGATTAAAATTCTCGCTCATGTATCAGCATCCTATATCTCAAAGATCAACCCTAGTTCTAGAAATCTCTTTCTCACATGGAGCAACATGACATTTACTTTGGCCAGGACATTTGTATGTAATATCTGAAATCCAAATAAGACTTTTAAGCCTTCAGATGCTTAAAATTCTCACTCAGCATCCTAGATCTCATAGATCAACTCTACTTCTAGGTTACAAGAATCAGAAACACCATTTTTTTGGATTAAGCACTCATTAAATCCATTGCAATATCATTCCATTGGCGGTTAAGAACTTTTTTACTTTGGGAAATGGCTCAGTATTATGACCTCCATTTCTCGTCTTAGTAGAAGTTGCATTTAACAAATGCAAATTTTCATTTTATTAGTAGAAGAAGCAAACTAGGTAGATTCATGTGTGTAGCTTGTTTCGTTATCCCACTGAGGTACGTGTTTGGTGTGCTATCTTTGGCATGTTTGGGCTAAATAGACATTGTAGTCTTTTGCACTGTGTCATGAGTCCAACGACTTCCACATTGTAGTCTCTTGTTAGTAGGCTTCAACTCCAGTTTTTTCCATTTTCTTTTGATTTAGTTTTCTCAGGGCCCATATCCTTTGCACTCTAGTCCAGGAAATGTAAAAAAAATCATTGCTTCTCTTTTTTGTTATTGAGGGACATTTCGTGTCTGAAACAAATGACTGAAGTTTTGAAAGGCTTTACTGAGACTTGCCTTGAGGCTAGGCTATGGTAAAACACATTGAGGTTTCGATTTTTAGGTGGTACTTCCCAAAGGCTTGTGCATCATAGTCTAAGGGGTGCACCTCAGTTTACCTTGTACGCTTTTTGTGCACAAGCATATAAAAAACTTGTCTTGGTTTCTTGTTAGTAGATGGTTTAGACATTAAAGATAAATAAATAAAGAATAACCTCTGCGACTATATTCTGTAGGAAAAACCAAGTCAGTGACCAATCAAGAAAAAACATGAAAGTTATGGCTCAAGTGAGAAACTCAATAACTGAAACTAAAACTGTTGATTTCATTTTTGATGAGGGCAAGTTTCCTTTTCTGCAGTGAAATGTTTGACGCATTGAGGAGAAAAGTATTGAAACCTTTATATTTAATTTTCAATTTTCTTTTTCTGTTTAAAATATTTATTATTTTCTAAATCTAAAAATAAAAAATTTGAAATGCTTATGTCTTGATGCCTTAAGGCTTACTTCTCGCCTCACGACGGGTAAAATGCCTTGCATTTTGCATTCACCTTTAAAAATTTTGCTAATGAGCAACGTTTCTATCCCCAAATCTATATCATAGAAGTAATACATATTCATAATTCATGCATTTCCTCCATTCAGTTGAAGAAGCAATGAGACAGGTGAAAAGATAATATTTTTTTTTGGCTATTCACTAGTATTGGAAATGAATATATACTAAAAGCCCAACTGAAACATGCAGGTTTTCTTGAATCTTTATGGAGGGACATAGACATGAACAGGCTTCACCATAACCCCTCTGATGAACTAAATCTTATAATTATATCCCATGGTCTAGCTTCACGTGTTTTCCTTATGAAGTGGTTCAAATGGACAGTCGAGCAATTCGAGTACCTAAACAATTTTGGGAACTGTGAGTTTCGAGTGATGCAATTAGGACTTGGTGGAGAATATAGCCTGGCAATCCATCACACTGAAGAGGAGATGCAAGAGTGGGGACTTTCGCCTGAAATGATAGCTGACCAGAAGTGGCGAGCATGTGCCAATAGAGGTGATTGGAATGAAAGTTGTTCCTGGTACCTTGATGAATTCTTTGACAAATTAGCAGACTCGGATGACGATGTTGACCAAAATGTTTGATTCTTTTGAGTATACGTGGGCTGCCCGGATTGGGTGCAAATTCTTTGTATTCATACCTTGAGTGATTGTAATTGGCACATAGTATTTTTTGTTATTGACAAAACAGAAATTAATCCAATGTTCAGAATGGTGTTTGAATTATGGACGAGTCATCAGTGCTCAATCCAAGTCTAAGAATGAAAAACATGTGAGAACTGAAATGGAAGGCTTCCTTTTCTGGGGAACAAAAGAAGAAAAAAAGAGAACTGAATTCCAGGATCTGGTGACATCTAATGTATGAATTTAGGAGAAATATATGGTACGCACTCCTAAAAGGGTCACATTGTAAAAAGGTCGTGATTTTTTGTAGCGAAAGCTATGAATATTTGTATTGTTATGTCACTTTGTAGTATAAGTTGTGCGTGACAAATTTATGGTGTGCAACCCTAAAATCATTGTGATTATGTGACAAATTTATGGTGTGCAACCCTAAAATCATTGTGATTATGTTATCGACGGTGTGGTTTAAATGTTACATATCATTTGTGTTGAGAATTGTTACAAATCAATATGGTGAAAACAGTTACAACATGTTGTGGTGTTTTGGTTATGATATATGTTATGAATGTTATCATAAAATATATATGGTATGCACTTTTTTAGAATTGCATACTGTAGCAACTACCTTGTAAATTTTATTTATCAAATAGGATGAAAACAAACAAATTTAACTAATGTCATTTTATTTTATTCTTTTCCTCTTCATTCCCATCCCCCTCTAAAATTTATGATGCAAACATAATTTGAATATTATATATAAAAAGAAGGTAAATAGTCAAAATGTTCAAGCTATGGAATTTTGGAACATGCCTTCCTATAATTTTGCAACAAAATGGTGCTTGCACTTTTATTTCCTCTAAATTTTTTGCTTTGAAAACCAATTCTTGGATACTACCTGTCCATGCTGCTTGATAGAACATAATTTAGATCTCAAGCTCACTCAAGTCCATCGGAAAACATTACACATCAGATTCAACTAGCTTAGGAAATAGTTTGTCTCGGTCTTGAAGCACAACCAAACTAGTTGCCTTATTTTAATCTTGAATTTTCTACTTCATTATTTGGATTTGTTTGATACAGTTTATTGAGTTTGTTTATGAGTATTTTTTTTCTTTTATATTGAAAATTTGTGTTAGAATATTTAATAGAACTCCTGCTTGAAATTTATAACTAAAAATAATTTTAAAAAACTAAAATAAATTTAATTATCTATACTATATATTAAGTAAAATGGAGTTTTTAACCCCAAGCCTTGTAGGAGCTCCAATCTCCCAATCTGATTTTTTTTTATTTTTTGATTTTTTTTTTTAAAAAAAACCTTAGCATTTATTAACTTATCCCAACTCTCAAGTCCTACCCTCATAATAACGCTTTAATGTATTAAAAACAAACATAAAAAAAATTCTTTGAAATCCAACACATATGAAAAGTCTTAACACATATGATTATTAGCCCTCATAATAACACTTTAATGCATTAAGAACAAGCATAAAAAAAATTCTTGAAAAGTCCAACACATATGATTATTATCAAAATATTAAACTTTAATATAATATAATAAAAAAAAACATTTAATTTCTTGAAAAGTCTAACACATATGATTATTATCAAAATATTAAACTTTAACATAATATAAAAAAAGAAAAAAAAGAAGGCATTTAAACAAAAAAAGACATTTAAAAATCGTAATTCACATATATAAAAAAAAATTGAAAAGTCCAACACATAGGATTATTATCAAAATATTAAACTTTAATATAATATAATAATAAAAAGACATTTGGCATTTAAAACAAAAGACATTTAAAAATCGTAATTCACATATATAAAAAAAAATTAAAAAGTCCAACACATATGATTATTATCAAAATATTAAACTTTAATATAATATAAAAAAGGAAAAAAAGAAGGCATTTAAAAAAAAAAAATTTAAAAATCGTAATTCACATATATATAAAAAAAAAATTGAAAAGTCCAACATATATAGTTATTATCAAAATATTAAACTTTAATATAATATAACCACATGTCTGCATTTATTGATTTGGTCAAAATCCCCTTATCAGCATTTAAAATCCTCTCATACAAATAATTATAGATACAATCTGTGTATAATTACTGCAGTACCCTTTTCAACTTCTCCCATACACTATGGTTAGTGATAAGATTGTTAAATTATTTTTATAAAAAGTCTTAAAAAACATAATTTATATATTAAAAAAAATATAAAAAAAATCTAAATATCTAAAATTATCCCGTGCATAGCGCGGGTGATAAGCTAGTTAAGAAATTAAAGGAAAGATACTTTTAATTTTTAATTGTTATTTTGCCCTTTAAAAAACAATGCACAAAATAAGAACTTTCATTTATCTTGGTTAGGAGGGTCCTATTTATTGATCATCACAAGTTATAATGGCTAGGATTATTTTGGGACCTACACCCATAAATAGTGTTAGATTTATGTTTAATATGTCAATAATAAATAACTACTCAAAGGGAGTTCCCTTTTAACTAACATTAATGGAGATACTATAACACTATGTTTGGGAACTTAGGAGAGGAAAGAAAAGAAATAATTACTTGAGTAATAAGAGAAAAGAAAAGAAAAGAAATGATTGTGATTTCTCTCATTTTTGTTTGGATAAGGAAGAAATAAAAGAAAAGAAATTATTGTGATTTCTCTCATTTTTGTTTGGTTAGGTTTCATTAAGAGAAAAGAAAAGAAATTATTTTATGTTATATTACCAAAATAACCTTTTTATATTTTCAATCATTTTATTTCTTTTATTTTTATAGGGACAAAATTAGTGTTATGAAAATAGTGGTTTCTTTTCTCTCCCAATCTCTCCACTTTTGGAAAGATTGAAAATGAGGCTTATAAGAGAAATGAGTTTCTCTCCATTTCTCTTCATTTCTTCCCATTTCTCTCTACTTAGATTATCCAAACAAATAAGAGAAATATATATCACTCCATTTGTTTTCTTTTCTCTCCAAATCACTCAATCCAAACATAGCGTAAGTGAGCCTGCCTATAAATATGCAGTCATCTCAAATTTATTTTAGTTTCCATTTAAGTGATGGAAAATTTTAATATACATAATACTTGCAAGGGTATTTATATTACACTCTTAACTATGTCATTTTTGTTTTAGTTATGATCATTATTATTTTTTTTTTATATTTTCTTTTTAAATTATGACATTATTTTAATTATAACTCATGAGATTTAAGAAAAATTATATAATAGTCTCATGTTATGTTGTGCCTCATGTTGTGTTTGTGATTAAATTATCACCAGTTAGTTATGTCTCATATTGTTTGTTTTAGTTATAAATCAAAAAATATGAAATTATATAATTTTCTTCTAAAATTATAAAGTGCATAACCCTTTGAAGGGTGTGTACTATAGTGTTTTCTAGTTAAAATATCTAGTTATTTTTTATTTTAATTAGTCATTTTTAAATGTGTGTATCAACCTCCTATTTTAATCATTTTTTTTAAATTACTTTTTTTTCATTGTTATTTTTTCCACGTACGATTACCTATCATATTTTTTCAATGACTATATTTTTTAATGATATCTTTTATTGAACATATTTTTTTATAACATATTTTAGCCATCATATTCTTTTTACCTAATATGGAAATTTAACTTCATTTATCTATTAGGATTTCGCTTAAAGGTGATAAATTGATACAGCAATGCTAGGTGGCCACAAATTCTGTGGCTCGAATGGCTCGAAACACTCAAAACGACGTCATTTTGGGTGCAAAACGACGTCGTTTTGACAGTTTCGGGCCATTTGAGCCACAGAATTTGTGGCTCTCAAACATTTTTCAAATTGATAAGTTAAAACGGGTTATACATTAAATCAATTCAAATTTGAACTTATTGATTAAATAAACATATTTAAGCTGGTTGAGTTTAATTAGATATAAGTTGGACAAATCTGCAAAATCAACATATTTACTTTTTTGAACTCTTTTTTCAATAAATACAAATTTTATTTGAAAAAAAAAAAGGATCACAGAAAATGGCTAAACTTAATGATTCAAATCCCATATTTTAAAAAACATTGGATTATCTTGAGTATTCATATATAAATTAGGATGATACATATATACATACATATATATATAAATGTATGTATGTGTGTGGGGGGTGACTTCGCACCGACACGTAATGTTGCTCTGCAGTAATTCCTTCCTGAAAGCGTAGATCTGCAAGGCAAAGACAATGTTAGAGTTGCTCGGTCGGGATGTGGTCGGAAACCCCTCCAATGCTAAAGTTAGAAACTTAGGAAAGAATGTAGAGGGAGAGTAATGGTGAATAGTTAGTGATTCAGATCCTTTCTCTAGAGGAGAAGTGTACCTTTTTTTCGGAACTAGAAGTGTACCTTATATAGGAAAAATTGCCTTGCTCTCCAAGGTGCGCATGGTTGAGCAGACACGTCTCCTTCCTTTAGCCTTACACTTGCATGTGCGAACTACCAAGCCGTTAGGCACGCATGCTGAGGGGATTCATGTGGCATCATCATGATGTATTGTTCTTTCTAATTGCTTTCTGTTAGACCTCAAAGTTCGTCATGACGAGTTTGTTGGAAATACAAACTCAATTTGAGTTTAATAATGGTGAATTCCAGAAAAGAAAAGAAGTTGCTAAAGGATTCCAAGTTGAAGGAGAGAAGTTCAAAATGAAGAAGAAAATAGAAGCTGCTGGAAGAAAATGAAAGCTTCAAGAAAGCCCCACATGATTTACACACGGTTGTAGAGTCTATAAATAGATGGGTTGATAGATTGTTTTAGATAGAATGAGAGAAAATGTAACCTCCCGGAAGTAACATAACATCTCCAAACAAGGAGAATTATAAGAGAGTAAAAAGATAGCTCTGTTTTGTATAATTTGTTTGTAACTGAATAAAAGGAGTATTTATTCAATTAATTCCTCTCCTTGTATACCATCACACCTGGTATACACCCCTCTCCCATTTTCAACAGTTGTATCAAAGCTAGAAGAGTCAGTTTGGGCCAAAATTTCAAAGAAATAGAGAAGAAATAAAAAGTTTTCAAATTTGCCCAGATTTCAAAGGTGTTGAAATCGA